CATGAACAAGAAAACATCTTAAAGTGACTAGGTGACTGTGCAAACAGAAAATCCAGGGAAAAACATCAAAATATTCCTGAAAAAGCACCGTACACCAACGCTTTGTACACAAATCCAGGTGATCCAAAACGCCACTGCCCAGCTCTCAACCTGCATTCGTAAGCGAGAATACATCACCCCATCCATAATAATAATCATAATAACGTTTATTGGCTTAGATCGCGAAAGTATAAAAGTGTCGTGAACACACCACCACCCGACAAGGTCAATTAGTAAGATTGTGCTCACCGTCTTCAACATCCTCCGTGGACTTTGTCATCCCTGCCCATCTCTCCCCTCCCGGTCTACTTCACCTGCCGTGTTCTCTCTCCTTTCATCTCACTTTAACTCCCCTCGACCCAACTCTAGACTCCAGCAAACGATACCTTATCCACGCTGTTGGCATCCTGCCCCCCCCCCCCCCCCCCCCTGTTCAACTCCAGGCTAAAGACCTCACAATGTTTTTTTTTGATCCTCTGCCTCTTTCTCCGTGAAATAAAATGTGCAGCATCTTGAGATGTGGTTTCATTCGAACGCTATAGGGACAAAAAGAAACGTGTGTTGTAGAGGCCTTTATGTGCGAGAGTGGTGCCGTTGCTTTTTCACTCCAACATTTTTAATAAACGCTGACTTACACAATCAGCTGACTAATCTTGATTTGAAGCTTTCGTGACTGCAGGAATCCATACTCTTTGGTTCTTTCGGTAAAGTCACGTAGGTATAAAATAAAAAAATAAATCACGACGTTTTGGGCGCAACACAAGCGTCCATCATAAGGTGACTAGTTTATTTTCATTGTTCACATATACAGTGTTGTATTGAGATACTCTTTTTTTTACTTCACATAACGCTTGGGCTCCCGGCGTGGATATTCCCCCAACACACCCCAAACCCGCGGTCAAACGCACGTACAGAACCTTTATTTTTTTTATTTGAGAATCTTTCTTTATTATCCTGGAGGGGCGTGTCAGAAAGTTTCAACAAACAGTTAAAAAAAACCTATGAAAGTTCAAAGTATAGGAAAGGTAAGCAAGTCACACCAATACGTATATAAGTTCAAATTGAATAAGTACATCATTAACGCGATCTAACCCCAAAAAACCTCTATTATGGATGATATTGGTCGCGAAAGCCTACGTGTTAAACTACATCAATCGCTACCGATTTTTCAAGACTAAATTGCATGAACGGGTGGGTGGGGGGGCATGAGGAGGTGTCTGAGGCCACCGAGGCCTCCTCTAGGTAGACTCAGCCTCAAAGGAGTGCAGTACCTGGTGCTGTGTAAACTTCGCCACTCGGGAAAACAAAGGCGGCCGGGCGCGGTGCTGGCCACCCACCGCCTTGGTGTGCCGTGCCGGCCTTAGTCGGTGCTAATCGCTAGCAGCACTTGCCCCAACAGTCTGTTTCGGGATTTTGGGGTGAATGTGTGTCTTTGTTTGTACACACACCTGGCCGTGAGAGGCGATAAGAGACGCTTCAAATGCCAAGCCGTCCACCCCGCTTATCAGTTACGTGCGGCTCTCAAAGGACGGCAGAACTTGACACACACACAGAGTCGCGGGGGGGGGGGCAATGCGACGCACAGCTAGCAATGAAAGTGCATATGACAGCGAACAGGTTTTTATTATTATTATTACACGCTTTATTTAACTCACTCTGTCTGTTGTTGTTGTATCCTCAAATCGTGTAACTCAATTTTAACCCACTTCCCAATGTGGTTTCGACTGCAAACTTGGTAAATTTATGTCATACTGATGACAATACTATATTCAATCATAAAAAAATAAAAACATATTTTTAAACAATATTTTTTTTATATGTTATGTTTCGGTTTGGGTCTAATTGCCCACGGTCAACTGACGTTGGCTGTAATTGACTGTGGTCCCTTACGTTATGGAAACCTTCGGGGACACTTCCTAGAGTCGTGGAGTTCTTCCATTACTAGTACATTTAATTAAAGCGTGTTTAAAAAAGTTTTTTTTATATATATTTCTTATTTTTATCACGATTGCGCATCTCTGTGGGTTGCCTGAAACTGATGCCACGATTGTCAACGTCGCAGGTGTGGGGGAGTGTCGTCTCATGCACGGATCTCGCCCCCTCGAACTCCGTTCCCACATCAGGTACGTTAGTTTCACGGAGAACCACACACACCACGAGTTCACCGTCAATACGCAGACACCAGCTATAATCTATACACTGCTGGATGAAGGCCTCCCCTAGCCGTTCCCAATCCTCATGGTCTTGTGATGTGACCCTCTTCCATCAAGCTCCAAGAATTTGTCCACGGGAGATATCCTCTGGAGCCTGTTACCTACTTTTTTTGGGGATACCAAAATATTAGCCATCATACAACTTAAAAAAAAAACACACGGTGGGCATTTTAGTTTGTATCGATCTGAGTGAACACGTGGGTTGGATTCAATGAGTTGGTGGGCTGCATTTGGCCCCAATGGCTGAGGTTGTGGGCAGCCCTGGTCTCACGTAACAATAATTAGGTTTTCTCTTAGCAAATTTTATTTTATTACTCCTGAGAGTTCTGTTTATTTATCAAAGTGACGAAACGTTAAATATGTCCATAGCTGGTCAGGTGCACTTTTCAAATGGAATTGAACTACACGTTATTAAACGTTGACATCTGTGACGGGAGTGATAGGTAATATTAGATTATGGTCTGATCAGGGCAACCACAGTTCACGGCTCTGATCCCTTGGAGTTCAGCCTCTAGCCAAGGTGACAATGATAAGATTTGAACCGGGCGGGGCATGGTTTCTGAGAAAAAAACAGCAATATTGCCCTATCAGATTAGATTAAGTGCAAATGCAGCTGTTGAACAATAACTGTCGGTCACCTCCCTTCCGCAGTGCACAAACTGCGCCCCGCCGACATTAAAGTGGTGGCGGCTCTTGGCGACTCACTCACGGTATGGGACGCGCTGCGAGTGATGGCGACACTTCTCGACGCCTCTCCTCGAACACGCCTCTGAGCACACATTTATTTTTTAATCAAACCTGAAAGCATTTGCACCTTGCAGATGAACCCCCCCCCCCCCCCAACGTATTGCCCTATTACATTTTTTGAGAGGCAGCAATCTCTCCCGCTCAAAATGAGCTTGGCATGGCGTGCATCTTCCATTGGTGTCCTTGGGCCAGTTGTAGAAATTCCACAAGACTATGGTGGGACCTGGTCTCCCAACATAACAACCCCTGGTGCAATTATCTCAGCATTCATAAATTATGCTTAGTTAAATAAAACAACATTTAATTATGACAAGGCTAATTTAGCATGCCGCACACTCTTGCCTAAAATACAAATACTATTAGGAAAGATAGCAAAGCGTAAAAACGGTTCTACAGGCAATAATTCAATGTCAGTAGTCACTATCAGTCAACCTCTAAAATCAGTGGTATCTGTGCTTTCAAACTGGTTAATCGATTTGTGCTTCTCATACCAAACCTATAAAGGTTCTTGCTCCACGTTTTGTGTGTCCAAAACAGGAGCATGCGGCAATTGTGCCGCACCCACCAGTGGCAAATACTATCGGGACCTGAACCGTGCCTCCCACAGCTCAACTCGCCATTAAATTATTACTGACACAATGTGTAAACACCAGCATACTTGGGAGGCAACGGTGGCCAGGTGTGGTTGCTGTCATTGTTGCTCGAGTTGATATGTCAAGAAATATTTCTATTGTTTGTGCCCCCTGGTTGCCTGGGTGACAAGTAGGCTATGTCCTTTGCGGAATCCTGGCCGTCCTGACCGGGCCGGGGCCATCGTAGGTTGCTCGCAACAGCACTTGTCCCTGCGAAATATAAAATAAAAAGGCGGGCAGGGTCTGGAGGGGTGAGCCATAGGTCATGTGACTCACGTGTCGTTGCGATGCGTGTGATGTGCACGTAATGCGTTGTCTGCCAGGCTGCGAACGGCGCTGGCTCGGTGCCAGGAGACGTGCTCGATGTGCTACAAACATACAGAGGGCTGGCATGGAGGTCTCTCTGCATGTCGCCACCGCAAAATATTAACCCTTGCTTCCGTTAAATTTCAATAAAACCACGCTGCGCCCCTTCGCTGAATGTGCGTTTTTGTTTTCTCCCACCTGTAGTATCGGAGGCGATGAAAACATCGGCAATGTCACTACGCTCCCAAGTAAGGGCAGATTTCACTCATCCGCAATGCAAACGTGACCAATTGTGAGGTCATTGTATGAAGTAAAAAAAACGTTAAGCACTCCAATTAAATCCCAGCGCCGCAAATCGAGTGAATGAACGGCGATGAACAACTGTGTGTCCATCCTCAGATATCCTGCGCGTCTTCAACCCCAACCTGAAGGGGTTTTCCAGTGGCGTTGGGAATGGTCAGAGGTTCCTCAACCAGGCAGTGCCGGGCGCCATCGCCGCGTAAGAGAAACCCCTCACGCATTCATTCCCTCTCCACTCAGCTCACTCGCCAAGCACCATCGTCGTCATCCGCCATCATCGATCCACCGCTGGATAAAAGCCTCCCCCAAAGCCGTCGCCATCTCTCACGATCATGCGATATAATTCGCCTGATGTGAAGCAATTCCTCCCCCTTGTCGGTAGGCGCCTCTCTTCATTTGCCTGCCACTCCGTTGTTATAACGATACGTTCTGCCCAAGTCCACTTATTTTTTGCAAAAGTCAGGATGATGTCTCTAACTTGCATATGCACTCTTAACCATGTGTTTCTCTTCCTATCTCGCAATGTAATTCCAAGCATGCGTCTCCACGATTATCTTCACAATTGTCAGCCATTGTTCCATTTACTTAATTGATATCCGTGTTTTTGATCCCTATGTCATAACAGATAGTACGCACCAATGCCCTCACATCATGATGACTGTGGTGATTGATGTAAAGTGAATGGTGCTTGTTTCCATTGCCCACCCACAGGGATATCCCATCTCAAGTGGAGAAACTTATCGAAGTAATGAAATCTACCGTGGTAAGATCATAAAAACATATCCTTACATGCAATTTTAAAAATGTGTTTTTCACACTAATGTATTTCCTATTATGTTCTGCAAAATACATTTAATGTATACGTGGATTTTGAAACACTTTCAGGAGATAAATTTTGAAGATGACTGGAAGCTCATCACTCTCTTCATCGGAGCAAATGATGTGTGCAGCTACTGTGAAGACCAGGTGCGCACAATTCTGTACACACATTACTCGACACACCCCATGACCCTGAACATACCATTATCCATTCACCATGCCCCTACACACACCATGATCATACACACACCATGACCCTCACACACCATGACCCTGCACACACCATGACCCTGCACACACCATTATCCATTCACCATGGCCATACACACACATGACCCTGCACATACCATGGCCATACACACACATGACCCTGCACACACCATGCCCCTACACACACCATGACCCTGCACACACCATGACCCTACACACACCATGCCCCTACACACACCATGACCCTACACACACCATGCCCCTACACACACCATGACCCTGCACACACCACGACCCTACACACACCACGGCCATACACACACCATGCCCCTACACACACCATGCCCCTACACACACCATGCCCCTACACACACCATGCCCCTACACACACCATGACCCTGCACACACCATGCCCCTACACACACCATGCCCCTACACACACCATTACCCTGCACACACCATGCCCCTACACACACCACGACCCTACACACGCCATGCCCCTACACACACCATGCCCCTACACACACACATGGCCATACACACACCATGCCCCTACACACACCATGCCCCTACACACACCATGACCCTACACACACCATGACCCTGCACACACCATGCCCCTACACACACCATGCCCCTACACACACCATGCCCCTACACACACCATGCCCCTACACACCATGCCCCTACACACACCATGCCCCTGCACACACACATGGCCATACACACACCATGACCATACACACACCATGGACATACACACACACACCATGCCCCTACATACACTATGACCCTACACACACCATGCCCCTACACACTATGACCATGCACACACCATGCCCCTACATACACCATGCCCCTACACACACCATGACCCTACACACACCATGCCCCTACACACACCATGCCCCTACACACACCATGACCCTACACACACCATGCCCCTACACACACCATGCCCCTAAACACACCATGCCCCTACACACCATGACCATGCACACCCCATGCCCCTACATACACCATACTCCTACACACACCATGCCCCTACACACACCATGCCCCTACACACACCATACTCCTACACACACCATGCCCCTACACACACCATGCCCCTACACACACCATGCCCCTACACACACCATGCCCCTACATACACCATACTCCTACACACACCATGCCCCTACACACACCATGCCCCTACACACACCATGCCCCTACACACACCATACTCCTACACACACCATGCCCCTACACACACCATGCCCCTACACACACCATGCCCCTACACACACCATGCCCCTACACACACCATGCCCCTACACACACCATACTCCTACACACACCATGCCCCTACACACACCATGACCCTACACACACCATGCCCCTACATATACCATACTCCTACACACACCATGCCCCTACACACACCATGACCCTGCACACACCATGCCCCTACACACACCATGACCCTGCACATACCACGACCCTACACACACCATGCCCCTACACACACACATGGCCATACACACACCATGACCATACACACACCATGGACATACACACACCATGCCCCTACACACACCATACTCCTACACACCATGACCCTGCACACACCATGACCCTGCACACACCATGCCCCTACACACACCATACTCCTACACACACCATGCCCCTACACACACCATGACCGTGCACACACCATGGCCATACACACACCATGACCCTGCACACACCATGACCCTGCACACACCATGCTCCTACACACACCATGACCCTACACACACCATGACCCTGCACACACCATGCCCCTACACACACCATACTCCTACACACACCATGCCCCTACACACACCATGACCGTGCACACACACATGGCCATACACACACCATGACCATACACACACCATGACCCTACACACACCATGCCCCTACACACACCATGACCCTACACACACCATGACCCTGCACACACCATGACCCTACACACACCATGCCCCTACACACACCATGACCCTACACACACCATGCCCCTACACACACCATACTCCTACACACACCATGACCCTACACACACCATGACCCTACACACACCATGACCCTACACACACCATGACCCTGCACACACCACGACCCTACACACACCATGCCCCTACACACACCATGACCCTACACACACCATGACCATACACACACCATGCCCCTGCACACACCATGCCCCTACACACACCATGCCCCTACACACACCATGCCCCTACACACACCATGCCCCTACACACACCATGCCCCTACACACACCATGCCCCTACACACACCATGACCCTCCTCCATACACCATGCCCCTACACACACCATGCCCCTACACACACCATGACCCTCCTCCATACACCATGGCCCTGAAAACACCACGCTGCATTCCCCATTTTTAAAAGATGTTCAAAATTAGGAGTATGGGACATGGCAGCAAAGAGGTTAAACTCAAGTTCAAGGTGCTATTTACATGCTTACTTGCAAACCATATTAATTCCCTCCACTGTGATGTCGACGTTATTCACCCTCCAGATAAAGCACTCGCCCGAACGCTACATTAACCACATACAGACTGCGTTGGATATGCTCCACAAAGAGGTATCGATGCACTTTACCTGGGCACATCATTACAGTTTAAATTGACATCAGTGTTTTTCATCCACGCTCCGTAAAAAAAAAAGACATCCCCTTTGAGTGCACTTTCCCTGCTCGTTCAGGTACCAAGGGCCTTTGTCAACTTGGTGGAGATTCTGTACATCGAGCCGCTACGGAAACTCCACCAGGACGAGAACAAGTGCCCCAAACAGCTCATGAGGTCTCCCCCCTCTCTTACCTTATAGAGCCTCTTGTCACAGCAGCCCTTTTGCCCACGTCAGCAATTGTTTCTTGCTGTGGTTGTCCCACCTGATGACGGACGCTTGTGTTGCACCCGAAACGTCGTGATTTAATTCATTTTATTTTATGCCTACGTGACTTTACCGAAAGAACCAAAGAGTATGTGTGATGATTACTTCTAATATTCTATGGTTCTTTTCGGTAAAGTCACGTAGATAGAAAAAAATTATAACAATAAAATAATAAAGTGAATGAAAATATCATGACGTTTCGATCACAACACAAGCGATCGTCATCTTTTCTCCTGATGAGGATCGCTTGTGTTGTGATCGAAACGTCGTGATATTTTCATTCACTTTATTTTTTATTGTTATTATTTTTTCTACCTACGTGACTTTACCGAAATAACCATAGAATATGAATTCCTGCAGTCACGAAAGTTTTAAGTCAAGATTTACTTCTAATTTTAAAGTGATCACTCGTCGAATATAGGCTGTAACACAACATTATGTTTTACGGGAATGAAAGAAGTGCTTTGTAACGATTTAATTGAAATATATTTATATTGAGAGTTGTTGACTAGTGATAAGTAATCATTGCATCAGTTGCCACTGATTAACAGGGAGCATCTTCATTCCTCAGCATTCTGTGTGGATGCATCGTGGACCCCACAAACCCAGATGACTTGGCAGTGGTGACCAAAGCAAACAGGGCTTACCAGGTATGCATATTTCTCCGAGAGGGCCTCAGAGACTCCCAGCTAAGTACATGATGAACTAGGCTTTGCTTTTTATTGTTCAAAGGATTTACAAAACTCAACGAAAACTACATTCCCATGGCCTTAATTGCTGATGATAACGAATGAATCGAGATGTCTGGACAATGAAATCGAAGTTTCACCAAGTGCCGTGGCATTGCCGTTTGTTATATATTGTTTAACTTTCAAGAAATATTTTTCCCAGTTGTGCTCTCCCCAGTACAACCTTTCGTCAAATAACTACATCTGAGATCCATTCAAAACAGTAGGAGTAATCTTCATCACATGAGGGTCAAATAAATATATGCCATTCTTCCTGCTGGATTTTAACCAAATTAAGTGCAGAACCAAATGTCCATTCATGGAGTTTTTTGTTTTGCGCAGTTATCGGTGACTAAGCTGAGACCATCATCTACGTACACATTGAGAATTCACTTCAATCACAAGCTCCTGTCTGGATTCGAACCCAGGATGTTAGCGGTGCCAGCTCAGTGCTCGACCACTGTGTTGCCAAGTGCCTCGCTTGACCTCGTGTGTGCCATCTCTTCCGTGTACAGGACTACAACAAGCAGCTGGTGGCTACACGGCGCTACGACACAATGGAGGACTTCACAGTCGTGCTGCAACCTTTTTTTCACGACGTCACCATGCCAGTCACAGAGGTAGGCCTTTCAGCAAGCGGTGGCACTTTAAAGCGGCGGCACTTTAAACACTGCAAGACGGTTGTGGTCAGGACTGTGAGTGCGAGTCCTTTCCATCATCGCTCACGCTTCAACGACACGTAGCCCAAAGGATGTGGCTCACGTGTCCTGAAGGAAACGTGTAAACCGCTACATTGTGAGAAATGTTAACTGTTTACGTTGTACGTTTTACCGAAGCAGCAACTTCATTGCATAGTTCAGTGATTGGAAAATGGAATTCAGCCTGCACGACACAGCGGTCACTTGCACCTCCCTCGCTTGTTGTTCAGGGAGGACTTGCGGACGAAACCTACTTTGCACCGGACTGCTTTCACTTCTCAGAGAAGGCGCACGCCATGTCTGCCAAGGCACTGTGGAACGCCATGGTGAGGTTTTTTTTTTGAGTGTGAGAAATGCACAAACAACATCGCTGACAGCAGTCTTGTGGCTGTGTCACGGGTTATCCTGGTCATCGCTTGGAAACTCTGATTCTGATTTATTGGTCTGTATCCTATGTGAAAGCGGTGTGTGCATCTTCTCTCTTTCAGCTCGAACCAGTTGGAAATAAAAGCACTTTTCAAGACTTCGCGGCCAACATCACGATTAATTGCCCCAGTGCGGTACGATGCGACTACACAACACAATTCCACGTTAAAAAAAGCTGCATTATTATTGTAACGCGCACATTGAGCTAAATTAAATTAGATTATTTGAAAACCCAAAACTTGTTTTTTTTTGCCTACGTATATTTGCTTTGCACCCAGATGTCGTGCCATAATACGTTACACTCTCCTATCCCCCCCCCCCTACCCTGTAGGCACAACCATATCTGCGAACGTACAAGAACAGCAACTACAGTTACCCCGCAGTGCCTTCCATCCCCCCGCCCCCCCCTGAGCCCACCTCGCCCCCCAAGGTGCCCCCCCCCCACCCCGCATACCCCCACAAACCATCGCTTACACACACGTTGGCTTTTAGTATTCTGGATGTGTGAACGTGCATTGCAGTAACGCATACATGTTAAATGTACTCTTGTGTTAATTCTTACTTGCAGCCGAACTATGGAAGTGAAATCAATTGCAAGGATACATCTCCTTCCGCAAGCGTTCCGAAATCAGGTAGTAAGAGCACTTACGAAATGCCACCTAAATGCCACACACGAGGAACGTTTCCAATGCCACGTGCATCGGCACCGGAGCTTATTACCAGTGCAGGTATCCAATGATTTCCTATTTGAATATACAATCAACCAGATGGCAAAGGGAGCGAGCAAGATGTGCTCCATTTTAAGCTATTTGCATTGAATAATTTTACAATACCTTCCTCGCCACACAGTTCACGAACTCAGACCGGCTGACATCAAGGTCATCGGGGCCGTTGGAGACTCTCTGACGGTGAGTTCAAAGATGAACCCTTTAAACAAAAGCTTCATGTCCACCCCTTGTATGACTGCCGGAGTCTGAAGCTGATGGGCGGACAGCTTTTTATCGTGAATAACAAGCCACTTTGCTGAGCTATCATTTGTGGTCAGGTCGCTTCTAAAAAAAGATATATATATAAGTGAATAACTCAGTGGATTCTACCTGGTAAGATGAAAAAGAGTTTCGTTTTATTTGTATATATTTTTATTAAGCGATTTGTTTACCTTAACTATACTTTGCATTCCCTATAGTATTTTTGTATTTTTCGTTGTTGTAACGTTTTGACCCGCCCCAACTGGACATCTGTGAAAAACACTTTACAGCTCATCGAATTCCTCCAGAATAAATGTTCTGATTCTGAAGCGTGATGACGTCATCCGACCACAAGTCCCATAGGTGCACCGTTAAAACATGACATGCGTTTTTACGGAGGCATGTAAAATGCTCTTGCGCTGCTAACCGAGCGTGTGTTTTCCAGGCTGGCAATGGGGCAGGGGCTGACAACCTGCTGGAGGTGATCATTCAGTACCGGGGGCTCACCTGGAGGTAGGGCAGGGTCATCTCCAAATACATGGATGCACACCCACGACGCACCACCACGTGACGACGATGAGCAATGAGCAGCACCGCCCGCGCAGATCATCGACACTCGGCGCGATTTATAGTTGGAGCACATATTTTTGCACGCAACAATGTCGGTGATTGTAATTTTGTTCGCAGCGTTGGTGGAAAAGATGACATTTCCAAAGTGACAACCCTTCCGAGTACGTAAGCACGATGGCTCAGTTTTGACATTGTTTTTTTTTATGATACACTTTTCATGGTATTCGCTTATGCGTTGAAAATTGATGCTTCCAGTATACCTTTCTGATAAAAAAAATACTGTTACTGTTTTATCCCTGTAATCGATGTCGTTTTAATTTGCTCTCTTCCCAAGACATCCTGCGTTACTTTAACACGAACCTGACGGGTTTCTCCACGGGCATCGGCGATGAGCAACACCCGCAATCCTTCCTCAACCAGGGTGTCCCGGGCGCAAAAGCAGAGTAGGCAGCTCCTTACCATGGCCTCTCCTTGACGAGGTCTAACTGTTTAAGGTTCTATGTGCTGTATAACCATTTGAGAACTCAAGAGACCAGGATCGTCTCATTTGTGAGAGTGAATTGAGTTAACAAAATGATAAAAGCAATAAAATACAACAGAGTACAATCATTTAATAAAAATAACAATTTGCGTGTAATTGAACAGCACTTAAATGACATATCCCAAATCATGGCAAGAGTCTACCACTACTTAAAAATGGTTGGTAGATGAGGCACATGTAAAATTATCTACATGTTCTTAGGTACATTCGTTGAAAATGATTTGCTTGTTATACTTTACATATTTCCATACAAATAGGGTATATAGAGATAAAAGTGTTAAAACCATTAATTGCTTGTGTTCATTATTTTTGCAGCGATATGCCAAAGCAGATCCGTAAGCTTGTGGACATCATGAAAAACGATAAGGTATGAAACGGAGCACACAATGCTGACAGTGACCTTGCCTTTTGCCGAATAGAAACGACTGTGTATCCATTAATAATGGCTCCACATGCAACTACTGTAACATTGAAGTAATTTAAAACTGGCCATAGAACATTACATGCTTAAGTTGGCAGTTTATAATTGTACTCTTGTTTTTTTTTTTTGCAGAGAATAGATTTCAATAATGACTGGAAGATCATCACATTGTTCATTGGTGGAAATGACCTCTGCGGATACTGCTCAAACAAGGTTTGCCCCAGTTACACGAAAACACGTGGACCAATCTAAACACAAAAATCGCATGTTTACATTTAAAACGTGACACTGATCTGGACATCTAAATTGTGTGGATGTCAACAGCCCTACCACTCCGCCGACAACTACATAACGTACATCAGCGAAGCCCTCGACATCCTGCATGCAGAGGTACGGAGCTCACACTGGCACCCCATCGTTAAGATTTAAGTTTATTTTTATTTATCTGGGTGAGAACCAAGAGTCAACGTTAATCTCAATTGCAAGAGTAACCTGGGGGGTGATTCTGCCAGTAGAGGGGCGATTAATGCTATATGCATATTCCAAATTGAGTCATTTGTGGGTAAATTTTTTACTCTGAACATTCAGACTCTGATGCTGGCACACAATGGTCTCGTCTTGCGAATGACGTCGGGTGATCCTAAGCGTCCACTGGGAAGCAGACAGCATGTAGTCTCCCTGTGCTCATTACACCCACAGTAATAATTATTAGGGTGGGCGACGTACACATGCCCACGGCGTTCGTCGCTAATTTTCAGAGAGGGGTCCACTTCCCGCTGATAAGACATCGGTGTGAGGGCCGCCCCACCGCCTACAAGGGGTTGTTTTCACGATTTGTGTATTTTCAGCGGCTGCACGTCAGGGGTCACACTAAAGGCCACCAGGGGTCCGCCAGTGCCCCCGCAGGGCCTGCAATGAAGAACACTGCATGATTAATCCGCTGCTGGATGATGGCCTCTCTAAGCCGTCGCCATGTTACATGTCCAACGTCCAGAAGTGTAGGGCAGCATGGAAATATTTCACTGTGTGTGTGCTGCAGGTGCCCCGGGCATTCGTGAACCTCATGGAGATGCTGTACATTGAGCCCCTGCGAGGGCTATATAATGACAATGGCAACGATTGCCCCCGAATCATCCTCAGGTGCGTGGGGAGACACCATTGATGCATGGCAGACAAGAACCAAATCAAACCCCCAACGCGTTTTACTGCGTTCTTCATACAGGGAGACGATGCTTGAAGAATGTGGAATTTTTCACAACTTGCTCAAGACCGCCAACAGAAATGTGTGCTGCTCAGCGACCGTTTGAACCACCCTTGAACGTTTGTTTATGACGACAATTGTAATAAGAGCTTCAAAGTTCCGCAAAGAGGGCTTGCGGTTGGAGCATTTGTTCTTGCTGCACGGCGCCGCGACTCCCAAGCGAGGCTCAGGGTGCATGTGTCCCCGCAGGGAGCTGTGTGATTGCGTGGTGGATCTCTCCGAGGGCTCCAGCGAGCTTGACTACCTCATCACACTCAACCGGGCATACCAGGTACTGCTGCGGAGTCTCCAAAATCCACGGCAAACACATTCATGAACACATATGTCAGCGCTCAAGTTGGCGCACAAGTCAAATGATAAAAAAAACGCACACGTCCGCTAAATCCTCACACAGCAGAAATGCTAAGCTGCACACAAAAAAAATAATGTACCGCTCAATGCAAATAGAAACATTTTTCCAATGTTTTTTTTTTCTCAATGCGAGCATTAAACCAATAGTTTGCTGGACACAACGGTGGCAACAGTTTTCCAGCTTACACAATGACAGCCTCCCGCTGGTTAAATATTGTGCACACATTCGGCTCAATCCACATGTGGACGAACGTTTGTCGTATTGTGTGATAGTTGGAGAAAACAAATGCCCGCTGATATCTCCGTTACCGGCAGCTGTGCAATTCTCTGGGGTTAAGTGGCGTTGGAGCCAGTTTTTTTTTGACGATATGCAACTGACTCGTTAAAGTCACGATCCAACTTCGTCCCAATGCGCAAAGAGATTTAAATACTGGACTATCGCTAGACATAGTTAAATTCGTAACCTAATAAATCTATACGAAAACCTGTGTTTTGAATTGTGGCACTCGTAATAACCTCGGTTATAAGACTCGCGCGTTCATAGATGTACTTTCTTGCTCATGAAATAAGATGATGATGTTGAAGGCAACAACAATGATGATTATGATTAGTAACAAGAATGGCGATGATGATGATGATCATGACAAGCTGCTGGCATGTGCTGTCTTCCTCATGCAGCAACGACAGCAGGATCTGATAGAGAGCGGGCGCTACGACACGAGGGATGACTTCACGGTGGTGCTGCAGCCCTTCCTGCGCAACCTCACCATGCCCCTCGATTCGGTCAGCTCAGTACACCAGCACAGTGCAATGACATATGTGCTCCTCCCTGTCGGGGGGGGGCAAGTGCCGCGAGCGAACGCCTGTGAAGGCTCGAAGAGCACACGGGAAGATGGTGCGGCTAGTACCGTGCCCATAAGACTTTGCTCTCCGCGGTGCTGACGTTGATCACGCCACGCCAGCTACTAATGCAAGGCTGAATCAACCAAAGGGATACTCAGGACCGGTTGGGAAATTTGATCATTGATGTTAATCATGGCCGGGAATTGAACTCGGGTTTTCGAGTTTGTAGCAGAGTTTGATAACCATTACACATCGCCCACCTGCACAGCACACGCCTTCCAATGGCAATGTTATTCGGTCACAGACAACAAAATATACCTCTATGTGTCCATAATCTAAATAAGTTATATTACATTGCAACAGATGTTTTGTCATAGGCATGTATGAAGGCATGCATTCGTCATATTAATATTAAATCTTACGCTTACAACACATGCATCGAAACATGAGTGAGATTCACATTTTGTACGATTGATGTAAATAATGTGCTAGCGTTCCGTTTCGGTTAACTGAGCAAACAAATCTTTTACAAATTAAACAAAAGACCGAGAAACAATACGAGTTGGTATAAACCGATACACAAGATGTAATCCTTGCCCCCGAATCGCGACAACAACAAAAAAAACGGCAAATCAATGCTGGGGTTGTTTCATCACGCGCCTGCGAAGGTGGTGAACAGCATGCAGGGAGAGGGTGACCCAGGTTCGTGCTGTTGCCCTCTTTGTTCTGCACACGTCTTGCTGGTGTGCAGCTAGGGAAACCAGACCCTTCGTTCTTCTCTCCGGACTGCTTCCACTTTGGTGAGAAGGCCCATGCTCTGTCTGCCAAGGCCCTCTGGAATAACATGGTACGGCACTGTGACCTCAAGGCCGGTAATATACTGCGGCTGTGCGATAGATGAAATTACCTTTCGTGTCTGTGAGACGTGGATGTTTCATGGTTACTAACACATGTTTTTTGTTTATGCCCTTTGTTTATGAGACAATAAAGGATTGGAAACCCGTTACCTAATCACTCACCTCTATTTAAGGCAAAGTAGTACTCAACCTATAGGTGTTGTGCTTATCTTATGTTGTGAAATCATCAACAGAAAGAATCAGATAACACCTGTTTGGGTTGAAAGTCTTCCAAAACAACACCATTTGGAACTTAGCTTGCAACGCCCAAGTGCATTGCAAACCTAAAATACATCTGATCTGTCTCAACCTCAGGTCAACTCTGTTGGAGATATAGCACATTGCCTTACCCACAAGAATAGCTGATGTTAAAGGATGGTGAGATAATGATTTAAGGCAAGTGTGACCTTACTTGCTGGTTTGCAGCTGGAGCCAGTGGGAAAGAAAACCACCGATCAGGACTTTGTGGCTGACCTGCCCATCCGCTGTCCCACAGAGGTACTATAACACCACCACCACCACATACCTCCACATTTAATGCCACTGTCATTGCCTTTCATTATTGCAACAGTGTGTTGAAAATTCATAGACAGCGAATATTGATTTTTGCAGAAAGAACCATACCTACATACTTACAAGAACAGCAACTACAATTACAAGAAAAAGGTGAGATATGATATCAAGACTAATCGTTTAACTCCCCATATATGAAAAAAAACAAATATTTTTTAAATATTATTTTATCACAATATATTTTCTCAAATAGATATTGTGCTTTGTGGTAATATCATGCTTAAAAATGTCTGTCTTTGGCTTATTTTGAAACTTAAAAATGCACATGTTAAACAATGTATCTTCAGGAATGACTTTGCTCTCATTGCAGGACTGGGGAAGCGATTTCTCCTGCACCGATATAAGTCCATCAAGCACTGTCCCCACTTCTGGTGAGATGGCAGATCACACGCAACGCCTGTGCTCGCCCGGATGTAAACCAACTTCGATTTTGGTTGGTGACGGCAGAGATTCTTGATTCGAGTGCTGTCTCTGCTTCCAACCCTCAATCCTCATCCAGTGCACACCCTGAGGCCAGCAGACATCAAGGTCATTGCGGCGCTCGGCGACTCTCTGACGGTAAGGGGACGGCACAATTCCCGATGGCACGGCTCCAAACATATTTGGTCATGAATCGCTCAGAGTGCACATTGAGCTGACAGCTGTACGCATGCCTTCTGAATTTTAAATGCATCTTTTGAACTAAAAAGCCGTGCACGTGCATCATTAAATGCCACGCAAGTCAGCAACACTTTTCAGCACTGTACTTTAACACCGTGCCTTCACTTTCTAAGTTGGGCACAAACAGCGAGTTGTCGAAGGTTTCGATGCATCTCAGGGCAATTCGGAAAAACCGATGTCTTAAGACTGTTTGCCGAAGTGCTTCCGTATATATATTTTTTTATCCCGATGCTAAGGCACAAGCACGCATATTGCGTGCCGCGAATCACACGCTTAAAAATTGTCATTCAACATTCCTCAGTCTGCCACATTTTGGTGATGAGCAACGATCGCTTTGTATATGACACCCAATCTCGTCGGTTGATCAAAGGCCCTGCCGTTTCATTGTTGGCAGAGCTCGTGAGTGAAGGAACATGCGACTGATATGTACTCGACAAGTTACAGTCTGTGTGAGCATTGTTGGGCTGCACGGGGTTACTACCTCCCATCCGATTGAACGCAGTTCCCTGTGATAATTGTCCACAGGCTGCCAATGGAGCCAGGGCTGACTATTTTAGCAACGTTACCACCCAGTGGAGAGGGGTGTCTTGGAGGTGAGTTGGGCCACGAAAGGAACAACGCGCACGACTGAACATTACCGCGATTATGAATTATGCCTGCCGGGGAAAGTCGGTCATCTTTCATAATTGTTTTTTATTTGATCCCTCACACAGTGTTGGAGGAGATGAAACTCTCAGCACGATCACTACTCTTGCAAGTGAGTAACGCCGAGATTTTTTCCGCGCAAAATAATTTGCACCACATCCGGCCAAGTAGGGATGTTAGCGATGCGTTCCATACACAATGCCGATCGGGGGGGGGGGGCGGTTGAATCTGGGTTTGAAAAAAGTGAGTTTCACTTCATGAGGAATGCAGCTGTGGTTGTCGTACGGACAGACTGGACCCTGCTGTAATCATGATCAGCCGCTGGAAGAAAGGTCTCCCCATTCTGTCACCATCTCTTAGTCTCGCAATACTGCAACTCAGTCCATTAAGCTCCTGCACACAAGCCGATTTGAATTATCCATCTCTAAAGTGGTTCCTGCCAAAGTAATATGTAATTTCCACAACTTGCTCACCATTTGAAATGGAGCACTTTGACAGCCAGAGATGACATTTCAATTATACGTGTGCGCGTATGTTGTTGAACTTCTTTCCCACCGCACGTAGTCAATCGTGCTAATCGGAGGTGCGGGGGAATGAGAGCGCAGACTGAATCGTTGCCCGTCCAGAGATCCATCACCTGACGATGCCCTGTCACGCTCTTTCGCTGTCCTGTCACGCGACGCAGACATCCTGAAGAAGTTCAACCCCGACCTGTACGGCTTCTCGGAGGGCATCGGCAGCAAGGACTCTCCGAACGCGCGGTTCAACGTCGCCGTGCCGGGAGCTCGCGCACGGTGACTCGCCCACACCTCGCGATCGCCACCTCGCGACCGGGGATTGCACCTGCGATAATTAGTTAGAGCTTAAACTGCATTATCCCGTGGATTGAGATTCATCAAACGTCTTGATTTGAAGCTTTCGTGACCGCAGGAATCCATACTCTTTGGTTCTTTCGGTAAAGTCACGTTGGTAGAAAAAGAAAATTTAATATTTTACGTGACTTTACCGAAAAAAGCCACGTAGTTTATTTTATAAAATATTTTTAGAAATAAAAATATTTTATTTTATTTCTAACTACGGGACTTTACCGAAAGAACCAAAGAATACGGTATTCGTCAACCGTACTTGGGAGGTGAGAGCTGTGCCGGATTACCCGAGGAGCAACAGTAGCTACACGTGGAGCAACGGTAGCTACACGTGGAGCAACGGTAGCTACACGTGGAGCAACGGTAGCTACACGTGGAGCAACGGTAGCTACACGTGGAGCAACGGTAGCTACACGTGGAGCAACGGTAGCTACACGTGGAGCAACGGTAGCTACACGTGGAGCAACGGTAGCTACACGTGGAGCAACGGTTGCTACACGTGGAGCAACGGTTGCTACACGTGGAGCAACGGTAGCTACACGTGGAGCAACGGTAGCTACACGTGGAGCAACGGTAGCTACACGTGGAGCAACAGTAGCTACACGTGGAGCAACAGTAGCTACACGTGGAGCTACGGGCCCCGCACTTTCAAGGGCCCCGCGCTAAATGCTTTCAAGCTATCAATTCCGGTTCAGTGATTCTGCACTTGCTCTATTACTATAGTACTACACTGCCTTCAACTTTTATGAACGACTGGGTGTTTAAGGGTAGCGATTTCTCGTATTATCTGGTTGTATAGCAAATGAACAAATACAATTGCTTTACCATGCAAGTAAAAAAATTGGTGTTTTAATATTAACGTTTTTTTTAGGGCCCCTTTATAACATTTGCTACAGGCCCCGCACTAGCTTAATCCGTCACTGGGGTGGGAGCAACTATTCGTAACCATACTTGCCAGCCCGACCGGTGGAGTTTGATGTCCTTCCACCACACCTCCGATTAGCTCGGTTGGCTACCAACACTGTGGAAGAAGTGAAAAATACATACATAAGGGGCCGTCCATAAATGACGTCACGCACCTAGGGGGGGAGGGGGGGTCAGACATTTGTGATGGGGGGGGGGGGTTGAGAAATGTGACGTCACATCAAAATGCGCAACTTTAAATATAGACAACACGTTCTACTTAATTATATATACTTTTTAATAAATGTTTTCTCCTACAACATCAGAGTGCAGCGCCACATTAAATACGCACTACAATGACAATAGTTTAAAGCGATTTGAAGCATGTTTTATTTTTTGGGGAGGGGGGGGGCAGAGCTATGTGACGTCATATTTGAGGGGGGGTCTGACTTTTTGTGACGTCGTGTGACGAAGGGGATGGGGGTCAAAAATCGTCCAAAATCGCGTGACGTCATTTATGGACGGCCCCTAAGCAGCAGGCTGCCAATTTTAAAACCCCTCTTACTGCATACCGATTTTCAAAGCTATTCGCACAATCAAATACTTCACACAAAAAATGCTTTCATTGTGGAGAAAATAACATTTAAAGGCTTATTTAAGCTGTGTATGTGTGGAACTGTTGCTGATAGTTTCACCGCCCGTGGCATTGCATTGATCCTTGCACGTTCTGCCACGGCAGGAACCTAACTGGGCAAGCACAAGAACTGGTGACCCGCATGAGCAATGACCAAGTGAGTGTGTCTGTGTTTTCTGCTGTAGCAGCTGCAAAGCTACACAGTCCGAGGTCCTTGGTTTAATAGCAAAGACAACTGGTCAACCAACTTAGCTGAGCCATGCCATCCACCCATACGTACCACCGCGGAATCCACGCTCATCTGCTGCAGTAGGAAATGGTCTGGGACAGTCTCTGCCACCTGAAGTCAGATCAGCCGTGACATTCGGTGTTTTTAAGACCAGACTAAAAACATTTCTGTTTAGTTTAACTCATTTAAATTTTCTCAGTGCCATAATCCCCACTTGCATCTCAGCTTTTTTGCCGATTATGGCGTGTTATCATACTTGAATTGATTTATTAATTGCTTGCGTTCAAAGCAAGTGAAGTGTAATGCTGCTTCCTGTTGATGTTTTTTTTCACCGAAAATCAGAAAATTAACTTCAACAATGACTGGAAGCTGGTGACGATCTTCATCGGTGGGAACGACTTATGTCAGTACTGCCTCGCCAAGGTAATCATTGATCCTTGCATTTGTGCCCATAATAGAACAAAACATGTCAGAGTGCACATTTTTTATTTTAGCCGATAGGATGCCCTGATAGCAGCTGTCCTTGTGCCGGGACAAGGCAGCTCAGTACCAGCCTGCACGTGGGCATTAGTCTGCCAGCAGGGGGTAGTGACTGCTATATGCAATCCCAATTGAGTTATTTCAATATGTCACGCCAGGTTCCGCTGTAGCTTATCTGCCCGCCTGATTGAAAGTGCTCACTTCACACACTCCTAATTCGGTCCGCTTTCTAAAACATTTGGCGAGGGTTTTCCACTCCACAGCAATGTGCTTACTCCCTTTGCCATTTGGCAATTCATTGCGATATAGTTATATATTTTCACATATTTTTACAATACAACTCCTATTTATGACATTTATAACTGCTTCTCCAGACACTGTAAATGTAAACGTAACTACATTTCCAGGGGAATTGATGCAAAGGTAATCCCAATAAACATGTGCAAATGAAAGTTACATGAATTATCATAGTTATAATTCTACAATAATGTCCTGGGAATATAGTTATTATTTTACAGTGGTGTATATTGAAAGTTACTTTTCAGTGGCCCTAAATCTAATATTTGTTCCAACAGGAAGAAAGTTCAGCTGACAAGTTTGTAAATCACATCTCTGCAGCCCTGGACATTCTGTATGAAAAGGTACATCACCAAGTTCCTTGGAACGGCAGATTCACATTCCATAATGCAGCCAAATTTACCATGTTTGTATTTTACAGCTGTCTTGCACGTGCATATATATACTGTAGTAACAGTTGGGAGCAAAATAACGGACAATCTAGATTTTAGGAAAGATGTGTTACCATTGATGACATAGTGTCAGGTTATGGAAAATACTAATTAATAACTATTCCATGTCTAGCTTTTATTTTTTTTAATCATCCAAGCTCTCACAAACCGAGACCTCTTTTTTAAAAAATAGAAAGGATCAAAAGCTATTTACGATAACTTAATAGTTATACTAAAACATATAATCATAAGGTGAGTCGGCCGAGGAGATCAGCTCTCACCAAAGTTATTCACAGCGACATTTGAAGTGATAGTTCCCGAAAAATTTGATTGAAATATAAAAGCACAGACAAATGGAGAAAGTATTAACTGTCTCAGATTTGACAAACATACAATCATAATAACAACAAATTGTGATTGGAAACCTCAATAAAGAAGGCTGCAAAGTTGGGCTCAAGATACGTATGACAGAAACAAAAAAGTTAATGTACAAATTCGCTAAGAATACAACTGTAAAACACATCAGAGTATATATGAGAAATTATACTGGTAGGAACGAAGTTGTAAACTGAGTGTACCAGCCTGCAATAGATTAATGTGTCCGTCCGTCCGTCCCCTTTCAATACTTTAACGAAGTGAAATCTCGTGCTGTTGGGGTGTAAAAATAAAATTGCGCAAAATTCCAATGTTCCTACCAGCCCACCCTGCAGGGACCTGTTTATGAGGGCAGCTGAGAGTGTATTGGAAAACTGAACGTGATAATGAAAAGCAACTAATTTACCGAAAGGAGATGGGTGTGGGCTTGGACGTCGTCCTCCAACAATCGACTGATTATGGCTGAATCTAATTATGGAAGTTGCTATTGCAGTATCGGCTACTGTGCACACGGTTTCCTTAACAAAACGCAAGCACCATTTGGTTCAGGCTCGGGTATCTGCACACTTATAAGTCGGGATATTCAAGTGAACAAATACAATTCTACGTTACATTTTGTTTGCTCGAGTTTTTACTGAACATTTGTCACCGTAAGATTTGGTCTTCAATGTAACTACAATCCATTTAACTGCAGTTTAAAAATGAAAAACACTCTCAATATTATTTCACGGTCAACTACCGTGGCGTGACATCGAGCAACAGTGTCACCAGAATCATGGGTCACGTATAAAGCGGCGTGTGTGCACAGGTGCCGCGGGTGTTTGTGAACTTGGTGGAGATCCTGGAGATCAAAGGGCTGCGGAGACTCGTGTCCAGTGCTTACGGCTGCACCAAGAATCCGAGGTCCACACGACATACATTTGAAACTGAATAACACCACTCCAAATGGTCCAATTATTTTGGCGAATTTCCAATTCGTATAGGGAATTCGAAATGTGCAGTGGACACCTAAAGGGGCTATCTGCACATGGATCTCGATCATGATTGCGAATTCAATAATTCTGTTCTGTGCCTGTGTTTACTGCCCTCACCGGAGGTTCAATTTATTTTCGTTTGGAAATAGAAATCATCCGATACTGGCTAGTGCCAGTAGTTGATGATTTTAATAATCCTGACATGTCTTTTTCTTATTATATCAACCATCGTATTTACAGACAGGAAGAATCATCTTATTTTAACTGATGTCTATCAAAATAAAGAATGGCATACACTGCATTGCACTATTTATATTAGGTAGCAACAAACTTAAGATGTATTCATTTGTATTTTTGTATTGAAGTAAACATTATGAAAACTATTCAACGAAATATATTTTTGTTATCGTACAGGTTACTTTGCCCATGTTTCATAAATCCTGGAGAATATTCTAAGGAGCTAGAAGAAATGGTCATCGTCAACAGGGAGTACCAGGTACTATTTTTATTTTTTGTGTTTTTTTTGCTTTTATTATTTTCAATTTATTTAATATTTTTGTTGTTGTCTATCTACGTGCCTTTACCGAAAGAACCAAGAATATGAGTACCGAGCACGTTAAGGCCCGGAATCTGTTGGCTTCTGTGCACTTAAAAAACGTAAGATGGCAATGGTGAACTGTGATGTCACTGTGCCTTTGTAGACAAAAACCAGCGATCTGATTGCCAGCGGCAAGTACTCCGACCGTGATGACTTCACCATCGTTCTGCAGCCCTTCTTCCGAAACACCTTCCTTCCACTGGACGAGGTTGGTGCCCAAGGGTCACATTCACTTTCACCAACTCCTTGTGAACATCATGCAAATGGGCAAAGCACTCGATCTATGCACGGATGTGCTCTTGACAGCACTGTGTAACCCCTGTGCTCTCCTCCAATCACAGCTCAATGAACCAGACCTGAGCTACTTCTCCAGGGATTGCTTCCATTTCAGCGAGAAGGGGCAGGCTGAGATGGCCATTGCTGTTTGGAACAACATGGTGAGTTAACTGTAGTTCGAAACTAAACCATCTTACCATGGCACACACAACACACCACGATACATTTTGCTCATGAAACATACACGTTCTGTGTACATTACATGCTTATATATACACGTGTTCTTATAAGTACTATAGCATTACAATACCTGTACTGTTTGCTGTGATGGAACAAACTAAAATATATTGCGATTATCGTCCTGATATTCAGCTGGAGCCCGTGGGTAAGAAGCAAACGTACAACGACTTTACAACAAGCAGGAAAAAGCTGAAATGCCCTACAAAGGTGATACATTGCGCTAAATCAACGAGATTAAGTACACTGCACCTTCAAGTGTGAGCTAAGGCAGTCGTGATTATGAACACATGTGAAGGTACTCAGTAGTGGAACTGCTCATAGGTGTTCGGGACTCATAAAAGTGAAAAGTGGCAACTCGCAACGACGACTGCCCCCTGGCGGTGACCATGAGCACGTGGGTGCATGGTCTGGTACCATTTTTTTTCTCCAACAAATTGTTCTCGATGCCCTTCACAAGGGCACAACTACAATGCAACGTCACAGAAATGGTTCAATAGCCAAGTGTACATGAGGGAAAGCTTGTGTCCGAATCCTAACATGTATAGTTTATATGAGGATTTGTATTCATTTAGTTTAAAAATGCAGCTGAATCACTCCAGGATCAATAACGTATACAGTAAAACCTTGGATTGCGAGCATAATTCGTTCCGGAAACGTGTTTGTAATCCAAAGCACTCGTATAGCAGTTGTGATCACGTGACGCTCGGCAGACAAAGCGTATACGTGCTACTCGTATTGCTAAGACCCTCGCTCGTTTATCAAATTAATATTTATTTTAAAAAATTTGCTCGTCTTGCAAAACACTCGCAGACCAAGTTACTCGCAATGCAAGGTTTTACTGTATATAACACACCAACATTAATGTACTTGCAAATGGTTTGTCCTTGTGCCTGCAGGACCAGCCATACCTGTTCACAGAGGGACCGTCAACAAAATCAGATGGCATGCAGCTGACGGCCTTGGGCAGCCTAACACTGGCAAGCTGCCTCATCTGTCTGTTCAAGTCCATGAGTTAAAGAAGACATACTCTGAAGAACAGAAATGCTCCTTTGAGCAGTAGCATGGCTGTGCATTTTTGATGTTCGATAAATGTCACTAATGCAGGGACCCTTTCATATTGTACTATGTTGGAAATTACAAAATTAAGTTTTCCGAACTGTGTTAACACACGTGTCACATACATAATGTACTATGTTCGCTGGCGACACTACGTACAGCGGTACTTTGTAATAAAGCTGATCATGTATCACCAAGCACTCTCACCGCACCCTAACCAGTCACCTGATACCACCCACCAGAAACTCACATGTATCACTCTCCACTCATTTCACACAGCCCTCATCAGACACTCACCATTCACTGGATACTCACCAAACATACACCTAACACTCACCAGAGGCAACTCACACTTTACACACACCTAACAATCAGCACACTATTCGCCAGTAAGCACTATAGGGCTGACACTGGGGATCATCACATCGGCCCTTTACAATTTTACAAGCACATGGGCAGCTATCCACTCAAAACACTGCATTTTCCACTTCACACACGTGACCCTTCCACCAACCGCCACACGCGCCTGTGCTGAACACGTCGATTGGTCCAGTATTTTTGTCGGGAAATTCGAATCCGGCTAATCGAGGGTTAAACGGCGTTGGCCACGTGACCTTCGGTGATTACGGATCGACACTGGGGAAAATTAAGCATCATAGATGATCGCTTGACGCTGGAGAGCATGCCGATTGGTCAGTGATGAAGGGCAAACGCCAGATGGCCGGTCGTGGGGAAATTATGCATCATAGATGATCGCTTGACACTGTGAAGCATTCTGATTGGTCAGTGATGGGGGGGTAGATGCCAGATGACGGCTAGTATTTGAATGTAAAGATTTTGAATGTAATTTGATTGTTTGCTTTTACAATAAAATAAATAAACGACTGAAGTAAAATGATTCCATATTTTAATAAAGTATTTTAACAGTTATCCAAGTCACTGTTCACACAATATTCAATGCACAATGCTCATTTAACAATTAGAAGTATTATTACATGTTTCTTTATTGTTCCGCTTCCATTTTGTGTATACATGTTTTACATAAAAAGTACTGCCACTGGTACATTATTAACTTTATAATATATACTGTATATTGAGTATGCAGTGTATATATACAAAATAATGGACGTGGATCAGTAAAAAAATGTTTGAAGAGACAGTAAACACAAGGGAAGTGTTCTTAAATTCTTCAGAAGGGGTGGGTGTCTTCATGGGTAAAAAGGTGGTCTTATAACAAAGGGCCTGTAAAATCCACAGTTGGTCTGCTTAGAGTTAAAGAGCTTGTGCTTTGAGCCAATTCAACCTATTTCAAACAATATATACTGCAAATCCTCACGAACCACGGTGGTTAGGTTCCTGAAAACCCCCCTGGTTGGCAAAACCGTGGTTGGCAAGACTAATATCTTTTTTTCTCTGAAGACAAATCACTTTCCTGGCCCTCTTCACATTACGCTCACCTTCACCACCAGCTCGACGCTTAGGGGGCCATGCTTCGGGGCAAAAATTGTTGGTACACTTTCATGAGGTATAAATTACAGTGCTCCTACGCTTTGACGACTGCTGCACAACACTGAACGACGTGGACAAGTACTGTAAGTGGACAAGTATGGGTACACGTGCTTGATGCAGCCGTGGTACAATAAAAGCGGACTGCGATGGGATCATCGATCTTAAATTTGATTCGTCAGGTGTACGATTTTTATAGTATTACAGCGCCCTCGGTGGCAGATGCTTGAACACGGCTGAAGATTTCAGGTCACGGGAAACGAAAAACCAAACCGTGGTTGGCAAAAAACGGTCAAAATAATATTATGCGTGGATACTCGAAACAATGGTTGGCAAGGGATTGCTGTACACCGTTTTACAAGATATGATCAGCTTCATGTTTTCAGATGATTATGGCTTCAGCATCAGGCTAATGCTCTCAAAGCTTATTGGGGATCATTCTATCATTCAGATACTGCTCCATAAAACCTTGGGGATTTGAAACGTCGAAATTCACCGGGAATTCAGGTGCTCGGCCAAGGACGATGGTGGCAACCACGATGCAAATGATGGAAGTCAGGCCCCAAATCTCATAAGAAGGACCCTCAGCCTCACCGCTCTTCGCTTCCTGATAGGTGAAGTAGTGGATGTTAAATGTGGAGCCTCCTGGCATGGTGAACATACGGTCGCTGTGGTTGATGGGGCTCAAAAAGTGAGCCAGCGGCATGTGGAATATTGCACTCACTTCATCCGGGTTGGGCTTCGGTTCAAAGTCCGATGGCACGAATCCTACCACCGGGGTGACCATTAAGCCCCTCTGGAACACAACATGCACCGGTTCTGTTATGAAAATGTTTTGAGGAGACTTTTTTTTCAATATTATGAATGTCTTATTGTGATCAACACCTGGCATATGCAAACATTTTCTTAACTTATGTAAATTGCAGAAGAGTTTAGGCAATGGAGTACATTAAATTCAAATTTAAGCAAAATTAACACCGAGGCTTTCGTGAGCAATGATTCATAATAGAATTATGGGTCATTTCCAGACAAAATATTTTTATTTTTACACGATAGCCTTCTGCATTGCTATTGGACAATGAAATGGGCTACATCTTTTAAATTCTAACAAATATTGTAACCATAATTTTTCAAATATAAAGCAATCAATTTCAAAATATGAAAATGTAGGTAAACTTGAAGTAAGAAATAGGACACTGTTTTGTGATAAAAACAGACCAGTGAGCATTTTTTTTTACTACATTTAAAGGACCTGCTGAAAGCAAGTCAAGCAGTGAGTGTGGTACCAAGTTGATGATGGGCACGAACTGGCACACCACCTCGACCTGATCAGGGGCAAGTCCGATCTCCTCCTGCGCCTCCCGCAAAGCTGTGGCTATCTCATCCTGGTCCTGCGGGTCTTGCTTCCCTCCCGGGAAACAAACCTCTCCTTTATTTGTTCGCAGCTGGGCAGAGAGGGAAAAGTACAGTCCAGGTATAATTGTTGTCAATCCACCAATGGATGACGGCCTGCCCGCACCGTGTGACCGATCGATTTTATTTCACCATAATTCACGACGTCAATGAGACTCGCCTGCTCGGAGCGCACAGTGAGCAGCACATGGGGCTCTCCGTTCCACAAAAACAGCGGCACAAGCACGGACGCCCGAGGAAGCTTGGCCAGCCAGGGCCACAGCCTCCCAGTCATGTCCTGCTGCTTGAGTCGGCTCACCAGCTCCTGCCTCTGTGACATCTCTGGGTGCAGAGAAACGCGAGTTATGAACCGAGCTCTTCCAGAACAACAGGTTTCCTATGACACCACAGACCACTCCCCACATTTCAAGATATGACTAAATGAGATGCAGCCTTTTTTTGACAATATATTTTACGATTTCAACAAGGGGGTAAATGGTGATTAGGCTAATGGAAGCACCATTAAATACAAAGTTGCACGTAAATAGTAAGCTCATTGACGAGTTAGTAATCAGTGCTTAATCATTATAGGACAGCTGAACTCTCCTTATTTGTGACAAAGCGGGGGGAAAAACTTCACAAATACTCTCTATGACCGAAACAATAACCATTGGGAACCATTTTCTGGCAGGACTTCCACAACTTCCAAGTTTTCTCTGCGTTATCTAGTTTACTCCTACATGCCAAATAGGCATGAATTGAATTTGCCGTTCAAAAGCAAGAGACCCCTCTTGAGATCAAAATCCTCAAGACTCGCGGTGAGGTTATCCTGGGTGGGGGGAGGGAGTTTAGCAGTATTCACACACTTTGGCCAGCAGAAGGCAGTGCACCCTAATAAATCGTTGTACAGTATAGTTAAGTCTTTGCCCCCTCCCATTAATTGTATATGATCCTTGTCTTTGGGGCCGTCCATAAATGACGTCACGCGATTTTGGACCCCCCCCCCCACCTTCGTCACACGGCGTCACAAAAAGTCAGACCCCCCCCCCTCAAAATATAACGTCACAAAGCTCTGCCCCCCCCCCCAAAAAAAAAATATAAAACATGCTTCAAATCGCTTTAAACTATTGTCATTGTGCGTATTTAATGTGGCGCTGCACTGTGATGTTGTAGGAGAGGACATTTATTTAAAAAGTGTATTTAATTAAGCAGAACGTGTTGTCTATATTTATTTAAAGTTGCGCATTTTGATGTAACGTCACATTTCTCAAACTCCCCCCCCCCATTGTCACACATCGTCACACATCGTCACACATCGTCACAAATGTCTGACCCCCCCCTCCCCTAAATGCGTGACGTCATTTATGGACGGCCCCTTTACCAAACCGCACGAACCATCGTGATCAAGAATGGTCAAATAATCACCCCACGGTCCGGACGAAATAGGGAGGCCCTCATATCAGCGGCGGATTGACAAAACGCCTTTAAGATAACGTGCACGTGCTCAAGCTAATGGCAGCACCACGTGCTCGTTACCTTAACGTGCACGTGCTTAGGCTAATGGCAGCACCACGTGCTCGTTATCTTAACGTGCACGTGCTTAGGCTAATGGCAGCACCACGTGCTCGTTATCTTAACGTGCACGTGCTCAAGCTAATGGCAGCACCACGTGCTCGTTATCCTAATGTGCACGTGCTTAGGCTAATGGCAGCACCACGTGCACGTTAAGATGATAACGTGCACGTGCTTAGGCTAATGGCAGCACCACGTGCTCGTTACCTTAACGTGCACGTGCTTAGGCTAATGGCAGCACCACGTGCTCGTTACCTTAACGTGCACGTGCTCAAGCTAATGGCAGCACCACGTGCTCGTTACCTTAACGTGCACGTGCTTAGGCTAATGGCAGCACCACGTGCTCGTTATCTTAACGTGCACGTGCTTAGGCTAATGGCAGCACCACGTGCTCGTTATCTTAACGTGCACGTGCTTAGGCTAATGGCAGCACCACGTGCTCGTTATCTTAACGTGCACGTGCTTAGGCTAACGGGAGCACCACGTGCACGTTAAGATGATAACGTGCACGTGCTCTAAGGAGTTTGGGTGGTGGGGGGCGAATCGCCCCCTCAACTTAGCCAGCTCCTCCTGGGGCAGAGTTGCTTACCCGTCCCATAAAAAGTATTCCCCGTGACATTTAAAAGTCGTTGCTTTGATCCGTTACCTATAAGCACACCGCTCGCGCAAGACAATACACCCGACGATAGTTCTCGAATCTCTAACTCTTTCTGTTTTTAACGATCAGAGGAAACAAGAAGATACTCTGTGTAGTCGGCACTTTGCTAAATTCATTTTCTCTCTCGCTCTCTCCCGGCACTGTGAGTTATAGACGTATTCCTCTTGCTACGATATGCGTCAAGTTGTTGTTGTTACCCCCCCCGCCCGCCCTTCCAAAGGTGTCAAACTCAGACCTCGAGTTCAAGAGCTCTGGCGCCATCGCCTCCTTCCTTATGCCGGGATCTACGTCGGGACATTCGGTGCACATTGTGTGATCTGTTGCACACCACGTCCTCCGCTGGGCTCCACTGGTAACCCTCCTCCCCATCGCCCCCGAACACAAACAAAGTTCCCTTTCTGCTCGCCGAGGCCTAAAGAAGTGCGCACATCGCACGCGGAAGTTGCCACCAAATCCGGGATGGACGCAGAACGTCTACAAAGACGGTTGCCAGCAGCGGTGATAAACGTTCAACACATCGTCACACAAGATCTCGGTGGGTGGGTGGTGGTGGTGGTGGGGTTTTAACATTAACATTACATCTATACAACTTCCTATAAAGCCGAACTGATGTCACCAGACCTCTGGTGACAACCCCGCACGTGGTCCCGGACGCCCTCCTCGAGCCGCCGGGGCCGGGGAGCGCGGCCCGGCCTCATCCGGGCCCTCGTCCGGGCCTCGTCGAGCCGCCGGGTCCCCGAACGCCGCGGTTGGCGGCCCCCCAACCCACCGGGACTGGGTAGAAGCGAGGTCGCAGCGAAGAGCGACGCCTCGGGCCGCGGACCAGTCGCAGGAGTCGCCCACCCGCCCCCTTCCCCCAGGAGGGGGGACTCCTGATAGGGGTCCCGGGGACTCCTGATAGGGGTCCTGGGGACTCCGCACCCTCGGGAGCCCGCACAGCTGCAGAGGGTTCGGGCCTGGCGTGGGCGCACGTCAGCCGGCCTGCACGGTGTTGGTGGTGTTGGTGGTGATGATGATGGTGATGATGTTACAGATGTATCGCGCGTGCGGTGCGTGCACTACACTGGAATTGCGCTGGTGGGTGAATGACTCCAAGCGCCGTATCCATTGTGTGTGTGGGGGGGGGGGGGGAGATCCAACATGTTGCCAAGGGTCATCGTCGTTATCATCATCGTCATCTACGCAACCGCTCAGGGATTTGAGTCCTTTAATCCGGTTCCTGACCCTCGCCTTGGTTGAGGAGGCAAAGGCAGCTCGTCTCGGCGTGACCGCGTTCAAAATGTGTTCGCAAACCATCACTTGTCCGTCCGACTCACCCTGTCCTTCCCCCCCCAAACTGTGCGTGGATCTACACTGAAGACGAGTGCCGTGTGGAGTGCGAAATCACACAGCTTGTGCAGCAGAGGGCGGTGTAGCAAAGTTGTGCAACATGAACCGCCACTGCCCAGCGTGGTGAAGTTCGGTTTGGTCTGGCCACCAACAACCATCTTATCGGCACGGAGAGGTCTTCATCCAGCAGTGGATTGACCAGGTGGATGTAAAGTTTAATTAAGCTCACTGGCATTGTCTCTGGTCCAGCATAACAATTGTCTCGTTCCCCAGGAGCCGACCCTAACTTGGTGTTAAATAGTACACGTGTCAATGCATCATCCTCAAACACGAATGTTTGGGGCATATGAACTTGCCCACTCGTGGCATGTCCAATACATTATCTACACGTAACATAGTTCGAACTCATACTTTCCTGTTTTTTTGTCTGTAGACTGTACACACAAGTTGCGTAAATACCAGTACAGTACTTTCTTGGGCGTATTGTTTTAACGAAATATAGCAACCATCCCAATGCAGGGCCTTCATTTAAATGAAAGTCTTGAGGTCATTGTTGGATAATATTGTCATTATTATCGCTCAAGTTTTGTATCGTTATTTGCAGCTGTATTACGCTACAATGAGGGGAAAAAGTATTTGATCCCCTGCTGATTTTGTACGTTTGCCCACTGACGAAGAAATGGTCAGTCTATAATTTTAATGGTAGGTTTATTTGAACCGTGAGGGACAGAATAACAATAAAAAAAATCCAGAAAAACGCATGTCAAAAGTGTTATAAATTGATTTTAATGAGGGAAATAAGTATTTGACCCCCCTGCAAAACATGACTTAGTACTTGGTGGCAAAACCCTTGTTGGCAATCACAGAGGTCAGACGTTTCTTGTAGTTAGCCACCAGGTTTGCACACATTTCAGGAGGGATTTTGTCCCACTCCTCTTTGCAGATCTTCTCCAAGTCATTCAAGTTTCGAGGCTGACGTTTGGCAACTCGAACCTTCAGCTCCCTCCACAGATTTTCTATGGGATTAAGGTCTGGAGACTTGCTAGGCCACTCCAGGACCTTCATGTGCTTCTTCTTGAGCCACTCCTTTGTTGCCTTGGCCGTGTGTTTTGGGTCATTGTCATGCTGGAATAGCCATCCACGACCCATTTTCAATGCCCTGGCTGAGGGAAGGAGGTTCTCGACCAAGATTTGACGGTACATGGCCCTGTCCATCGTCCCTTTGATGCGGTGAAGTTGTCCTATCCCCTTAGCAGAAAAACACCCCCAAAGCATAATGTTTCCACCTCCATGTTTGACGGTGGGGATGGTGTTCTTGGGGTCATAGGCAGCATTCCTCCTCCTCCAAACACGGCGAGTTGAGTTGATGCCAAAGAGCTCCATTTTGGTCTCATCTGACCACAACACTTTCACCCAGTTGTCCTCTGAATCATTCAGATGTTCATTGGAAAACTTCAGACGGGCATGTATATGTGCTTTCTTGAGCAGGGGGACCTTGCGGGCACTGCAGGATTTCAGTCCTTCACGGCGTAGTGTGTTACCAATTGTTTTCTTGGTGACTATGGTCCCAGCTGCCTTAATCATTGACAAGATCCTCCCGTGTAGTTTTGGGCTGATTCCTCACCGTTCTCATGATCATTGCAACTCCACGAGGTGAGATCTTGCATGGAGCCCCAGGCCGAGGGAGATTGACAGTTCTTTTGTGTTTCTTCCATTTGCGAATAATCGCACCAACTGTTGTCACCTTCTCACCAAGCTGCTTGGCAATGGTCTTGTAGCCCATTCCAGCCTTGTGTAGGTCTACAATCTTGTCCCTGGCATCCTTGGAAGGCTCTTTGGTCTTGGCCATGGTGGAGAGTTTGGAATCTGATTGATTGTTTCTGTGGACAGGTGTCTTTTATACAGGTAACAAGCTGAGATTAGGAGCACTCCCTTTAAGAGTGTGCTCCTAATCTCAGCTCGTTACCTGTATAAAAGACGCCTGGGAGCCAAAAATCTTTGATTGAGAGGGGGTCAAATACTTATTTCCCTCATTAAAATGCATATCAATTTATAACATTTTTGACATGCGTTTTTCTGGATTTTTTGTTGTTATTCTGTCTCTCACTGTTCAAATAAACCTACCATTAAAATTATAGACTGATCATTTCTTTGTCAGTGGGCAAACGTACAAAATCAGCAGGGGATCAAATACTTTTTTTCTCTCACTGTACTTTTGGGTGGATGCAATAAACCTCTTTCGTGAAATGTTCTCTGAAAGTGTCATTTCAGCAGTCTGGCTCACAGTCCCATCACGACCCTGAGATTACACTTTAAAAGCTGTAAAATTTCAACGTAGTGCCATTTGGTGCGTGCTGAAGTTATAAACGCGATACAGCTTAAAAAAAACACTTCAGGTTGCATCACTACCTTCACAGTGCGATTGACTCTTGTTAAAATATAACTACAGGTATCGGCAGAATGCTTTACTCCTGAAAAGAAGGTGATTAACGTCCTTGGCTGGTGTTGTTTGGCTCAAGACTTCACCAACAATGTTGGCCAATAAAGTAATTGGGCTTGGGCAAGACACGTCAATGGAATAGAATCAACAGATGATGATGGCCGGTCGTCGAGACTCAACAACGCAGTTGCAGCCACAAGAGGGAACGTTCCGAGAGTACACCCACCACGGAGACGGAGCGATCAAAACTATGTGTGGATTGTGTACTTTTCGGGACCGTTATGGATCTATCAGTGGCTGATGTTAAAATGGAAAATTGCTGTAAACGGAAGCTAATCACCCCGATTTCACAATACACAATGAGTATACACCCACGCACGGCACAGTGTACGGTTCAGTACGTCATGTATAGCTTTTTAAGTAGAGTATATTTACACTTTTTACCACGGTTTATCAAGCTGTATTTAAATCTTGATTTAAAGCTTTCGTGACTGCAGGAATTCATATTTGGGTCTTTTGTTAAAGTCACGTAGATAGGTTCAAAGAAAATAAATTGACTTTACCCAAAGACCCAAAGAATAAGTTGTATTTAACAGAGCTTCAAGTATCCCTAAAGTGTATGTTCCTAATTACAACTAAGGCAATCTTATGTAATGCATGGGTCACTTGCTTTTTTTTATTCACGTGTTATTCACAGGCAATCTGGAGGTCAAGTGTGGGTACTCCAACCTCCAAGACATGTGGCCAGCGTAGAGTGGGACAAATAGTTTATAAGGGCTCACTTGGAGCTCCTCCCCGAGTAGAAGCCCCTTTTACCTCTGCTCGGGGAGGTATGAGAAACACAAATTCAGGGCTGAACATTTACCTGCGTTGTTGGGTGCGTGTCTTGTTGGGTGCAACACATTTACCATTTTAAGTAATCCAAAGTCACAATATATCCGCCAAAACAATAGTGCAGTATTTTTATTTTGTGTACGGTTTAAATGTATGGTAAATGTGTGACTAACCACATGCTCGAACGTGTGGTAATCGGAGACGCTGCTGTACAGCCCATGATGACAACACTGGTGTAATGCAATGCAACACAGAGTCGGTTCGCACACGGTTAACGCATAGCCTGGTTGATTACATTCTTCCAAAGATTGCTAAATTATAAGTTGTGTGTGAAACAAATAAGCACGGCAAACCCTCCCCATAGAGGTGGTTCAAACTAGATTCAAAGCTTTCGTGACTGCAGGAATTACTCTTCCTAATTTTAGTGAATTCCTGCCACTATGGGCAGGAATTCCACACAAAGCTCCGTGCTTGTTTGTTTAGAAGTCCAGGGTCCAGCTCGTCCGTCTGCTATGGGCAGGAATTCCACACAACTCCACCCTCTGCCCCCCCCCCCCTCTCTCTCTATTTAAGGCCTCGACACAGAGACGTCTTTCTGTGTGCCTATGTGTATGTCTCTCTCTGTTTGTCTCTGTGTGAGTCTCTCTCTGTTTGTCTCTGTGTGAGTCTCTCTCTGTGTGTTTGTGTGTCTCCGTGTCTGTGTTTTGTCTTTCTCTCAAATTTAGCAATCTTTGGAAGAACGTAATCAATCAGGTGGGGTGTTGACTTGTGTTGGCCGACTCTCTGTGTTGTATTGCATTATATTTCCAAGTTTACTATGTTTGTTTTCTCATTCATTTGTACCTGATGATGGTTGCTTGTGTTGCAATCGAAACTTCGTATTCTATTATTATTTTATTTAATTTCTTTCTATGTGACTTTACCGAAAGAACCAAAGAGTATAGCCAGCAGCTCACGGCACGTCACACAGTAGCGCTGCTCCACCGGGGACAGTACTCTACTCCCGTACGCAACCACACGCTCCACCAACTTGGGGGTTGGCCTTGTGCGTACGCACGCAGTTTCATCATGGTCTGTCGATATCCCGGATTCGCTGACAATGTGCCCCAGGTACCGGACCGACCTTTGGAGCAAATGGCATTTCTGCGGTTAAAATTTTAGCTTTGCAGCCCACATTTTGAGAAAAACTGCCTGCAACCTCCACAGGTGTTCCTCGGACGTACGTTCGAAAACAATGACGTCGTCGAGGTAAATTAGACAAGCGTCCCATTGGAGTCCCGCCAATACCAACTCCATTAACCTCTGGAACATGGCAGGGGCCGAGTGAAGTCCCATCGGGAGCCGGTTAAACTCGAACAACCCTTGGGGTGTACGGAATGCGGTCTTAGGTCTACAGCTGTCGTCCAAAAGCAACTGCCAGAATCCAAACAGTAAATCAAGGGTGGAGAAGAAACGCGCCCCCGACAAAGCGTCAAACGAGTCATCCATCTGTCGGAGCGGGTACGCATCAGCCACGGAGACTTTGTTGAGATTGCGGAAGTCGACGAAAAACCTCAGACTCCCGTCCTGCTTTTAAACAAGCACAATGGGTGCCCCCCATGGACTGTTTGATGGAGAAATTGTCAGCGGCCAACATCTCGTCGACCACATGACGCACGCGGTCTTTCTCCTTGGGACTCAATCTGTATGGGTTTAGGCGAATGGGAGCGGCGTTCCCCGTATCGATGTGGTGATGTAACAGCGGCGTGCAACCAATATATTTAGATTTACTCAAAAGTCAGAAAATGCATTCAAAACCGCACGCAACTCGAGCCTCTGTGCCGCGGATAAATCCGGGCTTTTGGAGCAGAGTGCGTCAATCCATGACTCGTCACATTCCTCACCCTGCTCCGCAACCGCTGCAACTCCAACAGTCCCGTTTTTCCCCTCGCGACATGCGGCTGACGTGTAAGCCAAAAGAGTACTCTCTTGTATGACAGACGTGACCGAGCCAATGTTCAAAAGCTGGATAAATGGCTCATGATCGTTTGCCACCAAAGTCCGCGCATACAATAAAGTTCTACCATGAGCAGCCTTGATGAAGGGAACCAACAACATCCCTTCCGTAGTCGTTTTCCAGTCGAGTTGTTTTTTCAGGCGCAAGGGAATGAGCATCTGTGGACCGGGGGGAATTTTTACAGTTTGGCCAGCACTAGGACCGATGCATTAGCCGTGCGGAATTGAGAAACGCCATTCGGCGGTCCGATGGCAACTCAATGAAGCCTTGATCCACAAGGAACTTCAGTGGCATTTTCCCTAGAAAATCGGTCCCTAACAGGCAGGGTAT